AGGATGGCCCTGTCCCTTTGCCCTCCCCTCCCCCCTCCAGTAATGGAAGGCTATAAAATATCTATTTACCCAGGACACCAGAATGACTCCTCTGTGGTTCCACTAATCTGGTGATTTGGTGCTTCTCTGGTCTCTCAGGTAAATACAGATTGAAGCTTTTTATAAAGGCATATTATTTCCCTCATTAAATGTGTGTTTTGGCACATGCGTTATTTACCTGACCGACAGTAATGGCTGCAGAGGAGCCATTGGTGTCTGTTGTGTAAATACTCTGCACAGAGACCATCCTCCAGGGGCTGTGGCGCAGGCCTGTTTCTCCAGATCGGGCTGGCCCTGTGGCAGTCCCTGTTTACCCCTCCCCTGTCCCCATGGGGGGGCTGGTTCCTTTATTTTGAGGAGAGAATCATTCATTTTCCTCCTTACCATAGGTTACTTATTACCTTTAATTTGCTAGGAGAAGGAAAAGGTTATGTCTGAGAATAAATGTGTGTAAACCTTGGTGTCTGATGAAAGATCATGTGCAGAAATACACAGAATCATAGACAGTTTCTTTTGAGTTCTGCCCCTCAACTAGATACTCAAAGTCCCAGTTGATAATAAGTTATATATTATGCAAACTTGTGACTAAAGTATAAAGACATTGATAGAAAAGGGAAATCCCTAAGATGCTACAGGGTACAAGGGTGGGTAGGATGCCTCTGCAGGGGGTGCAGGGTTGTTTCTGGAGAAGGCTCTAATGGTGGCAGGAGTGCCCAGTGAGGGGGCACTGAATAGGGGTATTTATGATGGAGAATCAATGCTGTGAGGGCTGGCTTTTGCCAGCCTCCCTGCCCGAGGAGAGCATGCAGTCTGCCTTCTGCGGGCAGTATGGGGAGATCGCGCCCTCACGTACTGTCCTGTGTTTCTGTTTAAAATCCACGTTGCATATGAATTTTAAAAAATAATTTTTAAAAAGTTTGAAATAGGCCAAAGTTACATAAAAGGTGGAAGTGCAATACAAAGAACTTTTTTCTGGAACCATTTGAGAGTTAAGTTGCCAACTTAATGCTCCATCATCCTGAATAGTTTGTGCATATTTCCTACATGCAAGCACATTTTCCTACCTAACCACAATACAACCATCAAAACCAGGAAATTAACATTGATACGTTACCTCCATCTAATCCTCAAACCCCATTCAAGTTTTGCCAATTGTCTCAGTAATGTTCTTTGTAGCAAAATGATCCAGTTCAGAATCATGCATTGTATTTAGTTATCAAGTCTCTTTAATCTCCTTTAGACTTTCCTCTGTAAACGTTCCTTGATGTTCATGACCTTGATACTTTTGAAGATTACAGGCTGGTTATTGTGTAGACTCTCAGTTAGGGTTTGTCTGATGTTTTCTCATGATTAAATTCAGGGTATGCGTCTTCAACAGGAATAGCACAGAAATGTAGCCTTGTTCTTCTCATTGCATCCTGTCATGTGGTGCATGATTTTGATTTATCCTATTTTTGATGATGTTCATTTTGATCACTTGTTAAGGTGTTATCTGCCAGGCTTCTCCATTGTAAACTGACTCCCTGTTATAATTAATAAGCATTCTGTAGGGAGATACTTTGAAACTATATGACTATCCCTTATCAAACTTTAATTTTATTTATTTATATCTTTATGGACTCATGGTTTCTTTTTTTATTCAGTGCATTATAATCCATTAATATCATTATTTATTTGCCAAGAGGGAGCCCCTTCAAGCTGGCTTCTGCATCCTTTTGATATGTTCCCATCATTCTTTGAGCATTTCCTTGCTTTTTGGCACAAAAAGATGTTCCAGGCTCATCTTGTACTTCCCCTCCCACAGCCCTGGAATCAGCCGTTTCTCCGAAGAGCTCTGGTTCTTTCAGTGGAGAATGTTATTTAGAAGGCAGCTGGGTGCTAGATGTGCTCATTGTTGTTGGAGCATTGCAGCTCCCTGACCCTTCAGTAGACAGGGCTAGAATAAATATCTGCATGTGTGTATATGTATCTGTGTATATGTATATCATGCTCACATTTACAATATATAATACATTTACATCTAGCTTTATTTTTATATATTACATATATCAGAAACCATGAGTTCATACTGTTACCTCCAATTCTAATCCGACACCACAGGTTTTTTTCCCTTTCCATATTTTAATTCCATCCTCTAACCGTGAGAAACCTGGTTTGCATTACCCTTAATATATCCTCTTTTTTGATCGGTCCCTCTGAGTGTAACTAATCTCCCATTGTTGCCACTGCCCTTTCCCTCTCTTGGGTGCTTCTTTTACCCTGGCCATGACTCCCCACATGACACTGCACCCCCCCACATGTGGATGCCCTCCACAGCCCCACTTGGGCTCTGATGTGCTGCATCACGCCTTCCTGCCTCTGTGTGGGTGCCTTCCTCACCCTGCTTGGGCTCTGATACTCCCCTCCAGACCCTTCTGGCTCCCCCCACTCCAGCTGGTGTAGACACCTACCTTTCTCTGCCATAACTAATGGCTCTAAAGCCATTAGACTGGATTTTTTCAGAAAAGGAAGAGGAAGAGCTGCCCTCTGTTTCTTGACTTGAGCTGAACTTGGTTGTTAGAAGTAAGGGAAGTATGGAACCCATTGACTGCTGACATGTGGAGGCCTGGTCTCCTAATGTCTGCTCTCACGACTTCCTACAGGAGAACCTTTTTGATGTGGGTGAAATCAGGTGAGAAAGCAAGGCTTGCAGGCAAGAAGACCTCGGGCCATCAATTAATTGTCCATGGGAGGGGATAGGATATATATGGTTTGCTATATGGGAGGTCTAGAACATTCTAGGGATGCAGGAGACATTGATGCACTCTCTGAGGTTGCCTTTTGCATTAATTGGATTTATAGGCCCAAAGGATGGGGATCCAGGTTTGGCCAAGTGGGCATAGCCCAATAGGATAGTAGTAGTAATAATAGCTAATATTTCTTGGGTCCTTATTTGCCAGACACTGCTCTTAGTGCTTTACGTGTGTTCTCTCATTTCATTCTCATTTAAGGAGTAGGCACGATTATTATTGTCATTTTACAGATGAGGAATTGAAGAACAGAGCTTGCCCAAGGTGCCATGGTGAATAATTGGCAAAGCCAGGATTCAAACCTGGAAGGCCTGCTTAATCACGACGCTTAATTGCCTGTAGTATTGGGCAGATGGTGTCTGATTGACTCTATGTGCATTTTATACACTATATATACACATTGGCGAACATTAAGACTTTCAAAAATCCTTATGCACTGCCTAACTCCAAGGGGTTACAGAGGAGTTCTAAGGCCCTGAGGGACTTCAGGTCCACACTAGAGTGTGTAATCTGAGCAGACTGGGGTCTCCCATCTCAGCGAGGCTTCGGTGCAGTTCAGGAGTGGGTAAAGAGTTATTTTGGATTCTGGTTTTCAAAGGGGTATTGGCCCATTAGCCTTTTCAAGAGATTCCATAATGAAACTGAAGCCAGCCTTTGTCTACCCTGGGCTGAGGAGTTTTCGCTACATTTTTGGAGAGGCTTTAAAGCTATGGTGCAAACAAGCACTGTGCTTGTGCAGGGTCCATGAAAAACTTAAAATACATTTTGGTGTTAGCTCTACTGAATCCCCATGGAATCTCACTATAGGAATGGGGAAATTGAGAACCCACACTAGCATATGTCCTAATAAATACACAGGCAAGTTGTTGTAGCTCATTCAGTGAGTCAGGGGAGAGCTGGGACAAGAAGTGATACTTGGCGTTGTCCATGTCCGCTCGGGTAGTAGTGAGCTCATTGCCTCACACACGTTGAGTGTGCTCTGGCCTCCCAGGCTGCAATCCCCTCCACCCTACATGAGGGAGCCAGTGCCCATTTGCAGCCTTTCAGAGGCAAGCTTTCGGCTCTGTTAAAATGGGGCTTCAGAAGGCATAAACTGTGGCCCTTTCTGTATTGAGCAGTGAGATTTCTTGTTTGAGGATTAAAGTTGAGAGAATTTGAGTGTTGGGTATAAAAGGGGTAAAAACACAAAATTTCTTCTTTGTTCCTGGGTTTTCTTTTTTTTAGGAAGCTTCAGTTATTTGTGAGTAAAACTTAGGCTTTGATTTTTATATTTAGTTAGCCCTCTAAGGAGCAGACATTGTGCAAATTTAAAGGGAAAACTTGAAAAGTGATTTGGATTTTTTTTTTTTTTTTAACACATGTTCACTCAGGAAACTTTACTAGACTTTTAGCAATGCTCCCATTACTGCCACATCTGGGTTTTCTCTTTTTCTTCCTTATTTAAAAAAGTCCTGCAGTCATTCAGGGCCTCTAGTAGAGTGAGTCTGAAGGCAGCAAATGGGAAGGCCTGAGGCTGTTGCCAGCTGTGCTCTGCAGGCCTTATTCATTCCCCCAGGGTGCCACTTATTGGTGTGGGGGCTGGGGAATCACCAGAATATTGTGAGCAAGCTCCCCTGTGATTGGCTCTATTGGCTTTCACATTGGGAGAAGGGAGGAGGGTATGTGGAGATGTCAAGATACTGACAGGAAAGCCAGGGGCAAATGGCTCATCTTGGCGCTGAGGAGAGAATCTTGGCATTTTCTGCTGTTTGTCTGAGTCTACTTAAGTCTACTTAGCTCCCAGAACTGATTGTGCAGCTGGGTCATCTCATGTTACTTTGGAAACCTTAGCATTAATGTTAACTATTGCCACCTGAGAAGTGACCACAAAGTTTTTCTCTCCTCTCTTTTGAACTTTAGAGCTCCATTTAAAGATGAAGGCCAGTGTTGCATGTTGTTTTGAGAGTGATCTGGGAGACTCAGAGCTGTCATGATGCTGCAGGAGCCAGTATTAGGGTCTTGAACTTCAGTAATGAATACTGTGATTCAGGAAAGGGGCCCAGAAACCCTGGGGAGTGGTTCATATTGCGTGAATATTCCTGAAGACTAGACAGAACAGGGCAAAGTGGGAGGGGAGTAACCCAGGCTCTCTGTTCTTTTTTTTTTTTTTTTTTTTAACTTTCCTCCCCTAAGTTTTAGATGCTTCTGGATGTTCAATGCTAGCACCTTTACAGACTGGAGCAGCTCGATTTTCTTCATATTTACTTTCAAGAGCAAGAAAAGTGCTGGGCTCCCACTTATTTTCTCCCTGTGGTGTTCCGGAGTTCTGCTCCATATCCACCAGAAAGCTGGCGGCCCACGGCTTTGGCGCATCCATGGCAGCAATGGTGTCGTTCCCTCCCCAGAGGTATCACTACTTTTTAGTGCTGGACTTTGAGGCCACGTGCGACAAGCCACAGATTCATCCTCAGGTAACTGTTGCATCATTGCTTCAGAAAAGGTGGGGTGGGCAAGGAGGGAGGGAGGATAAGAGTCTTGCTTCCTGGAACCCAGAGGAACTTTTTCATGTCTTTCTGGATTTTAGTTAATCGTCTGGAGTTCCTGCCTAGGAAGCAGGACTTGGCTCAGGCATACCAGGGTAAGGTAGACCTGAGAACTCTCTGTAGAGAGCTGGGCACATTGTTCCTCTCTGGTCTCACCAGCCTTTGGGAATCAAAATATTTCCTTCTGTCCCATTCTTCCTCTCTCCTATCTCTTCTTTCCTTCCTTCTCCTGCTACTGCTGCATGTTCTTTTAAGGAATATTGTGGTGGTCAGCCTCCAAGATGGCCCCCAATGATCCTTGCCTCCTGATATTTACACCCTTGGTAGTTTCCCTCCCACACTGAATCAGAGCTAGCCCTGTGTAACCAATAGAATATAGGGAAAGAGACATTGTGTGACTTTTGAGGCTGAGTCATAAAATGCATTGCAGTCAGCCTTGCTCTTTTGGATCACTTGTTCTGGAGGAAACCAGCCACCATGCTATGAGGACACTCAAGCAGCCCTGTGGAGAGGCACATGTGTACAGGAACTGAGGCTCTTGGCTAAAAGCCAGTACCAAACTTGCCAGTCATGTTTCTTGGCACTGTCTTGGAAGTGAATCTGCCAGCCCCAGTCAAGCCTTCAGATAACTACAGCCCCAGTGGATATCTGACTTCAACCTCAGGAGAAACCCTGAGCCAGACTGGGCAGCTGAGCCACTCCTGAATTCCTGGCTCACAGAAACTGTGAGAGATAATAAATGATTATTGATGTTTTAAGCCACTAAGTTGGGGATGATTTTTAATGCAGCATTAGATAACCTGAACAAGTACCATTGTTGATCGGTTGGAAAGGAAAATTTCTTGGCTCGCTTTTTTTTCTTAGTCACCAGCTGCGTTCAGAGACCTTTTACCTTTTAAAGTAGTGCTACTAGGAAGCTTGGATTAGTGGCTGAGAGGCACCTGTGCTAGGTGTGTCAATGCAAATAATCCATAATCAATCTATAAATCAAAATTGGGGTGAGTTTATTATGAGCCAAATTTGAGGACCATAGCCTAGGGCCTTCCTTCCCCAAGGAAGGAAGGGCACCAAAGAAATGGGGTGTACAGATCAGTTATATACAGTCAAAGAGCATGTATCACATATGATTGCAGTGTCCATTTTACAATAGTCACAAGATTGTCCTGTCGGCACAGCGATTGATGGACACAGCAGGTATTAGGTCTGCTGTCTCGATAGGCACAGCAGGTAGCAGGTTTGCTGTCTTGAGTTGTGGGGTCACAGGATGAGCGCAGCAATCAAATCCTAGCCCAGGGAGAAATGCTTATCCTTAAGGAAATGGCAATGTGGGGAAAGTTGCATCCCTATCTTAAGGGCATTTGTTCGTGTCTTTGGGACATGGGGGGTAAATGCTTAAAGCAGATATACAATGCATGTTCAAGGGCCACGTCAGGCCCTTTTGGAAAAACAAGGTCAGGCCGAATTAGTTTTACACCAAATGGCTTCCTCATATACTCCAATATGTCCTATTGCTTGCCATTTATTTATCAGGTGATATTGGCATGCTTGGTGTTTGCTTTGGGGGAAATGATTGGGGGCTGATGTGGCAGTTCATTGTAGTGTGGGGGCCTTGGGTATGCCTGGCTCTAGAACTGTAACTCTTCCCTGTGGAGCTGGGTTATCAGGTGTGTAATTTTGGGATGCGTAGACATGTTGGCCTGGGAGTGCTTTCAATAGTAAAGAAGAGGGGGAAAGAGGACTGTAGTATCAGGTACTTGGGAGACAGGGAGGAGTGGGGTCCATTCAAAGATAAACTGGGTTCATTTCTCATGGTTTCTTTCCAGAAAGGGGGGCTATCTTTAGAATAGTAGATTATTTTCCGTAAAACAGATAATACAACCCTTTTACCTTCCCCTTTCTCCTCTCCTGTTCTCCCTTAAAGTAGTAGTCTGCTTTGGGGGCATTAGAATCAGGCCTACTGAGGCTTGGGAAGCCAGCAGCAGGATGAGGAGAATGTCCTAAGGGAAGGAACTTTGGATGAAAGGGAATAGAGCTTCAGAGCTACCTGAGCCACGCTTACTTTCTCAGCCTCAGCTCCTGCCTCTGCTGTAGAGTCGTCTTCTCTGCCTCTCAAAACTACTGGAGATTCTGTGGTGGGTGTGCTTGGGTGGTAGGTGGCAATTTTGGCTATGTAAATTTTCTTAGTTTGGGAATCAAGGATCCATGTCCTAATATGCCATATTATTTCCCTTACTGCTGTAGATTTCAATCACTGAGTAAGCCGTGTTGGGACCTGAGTCTAAAATCCAACACATCCCTATTGCATATGATTCATTCCTCTTCTGAACCCTCATGATTGCACCTCCCTAATGGCATTTCCTGCTTTCTACTTCCTGGCACATGCTTATGTATGTTTGTTTCTGAACTTTTCAGTTAGATTATAATCTCAGATAATGATGTAGCTCTGTTCTGTTGTCCTACAGAGGGTCCTGCCAATGTTGTTGAAGGTGAAGCCTGATTCATATCTCAGTTTGGTCTGCCAGTATCACCTTTCACCTCTCTTTCAGGGGCATTGTTCTTTTTATTTTTCGTTCTTTTTATTTATTAATTGCAATGCTGAAGACATAGTGCAGTACAGATTTAAATCACTTATATCACCAACTTCCTCCCGGCTTAGGCACCAAGGCCTTCTAAACCTAGGCTGAGGTAGAGCTTCATGCTGTTTTGCGGGATCTGGGCCTGATTAAAGATTATCTCCAGAATCAATGAACCCTGATGATGTTGCTTCCACGGGCACTTAAGGAATTGGCTGCCCTGGTTCATTATTAGCAAAGCCTTAGCTGTTGCTTTAGAGAACTCAGAAAGAAGCATTTGCTGTCTTGCTTATCTTTAAAAGGGGAATACGAATGATCCTGGAAATTATAGACCCGTTAGTTTACTGTGATTCCAGAGAAGATACTTGACCTGATCGTCGGATAATCAATCAGCAAACAGCTAGAAGAGCATAGGGTACTGAGTAATAACTTACATGGGTTTGTGAAGAAGAGCAAATCCTGTCAGATCAATCTAACTTCTTGCTGTGACATGGTGATGGATTTGAGTGGATCTAGGGCAAGTGATAAATGTAATGCATCTCTACGTCATTAAGCCTCTACAATGCTATGATGAACAGGTAGGAAGGTGAGTTTGAGGCCTGGCAGCTCCGTTGGACTACCCATTGGACCACTCTCGGGAAAGGGAGGGGCAGCTCTGGGTTGACTTGAGACTTATTGCTAGTGGCAACTTAAAGCCTCTCTCTCTGTCTTTTAAAAAAAATCTTCCCTAAAGTTTGCAGGTAGCAGGATCCTGATGGGATTCAGAGAAAGTTTGGAACGTGGATTGGAGAAGTTGTCAGTGGCAGATAGGATGGCATCCTTCCTCTGAGGTTATCATAAGTCAGGTTCTCATTAGAGCCTCTGTGCTGTTTAGGTCTTCTGGTCAACAAGGGCAGTGGGGAAATTGGAAAAGTTCAGGATAAGAGGAACAAAAATCATTAGAGGCACAAAAATAGGACTTAGAAAGAAAAGAAATTGAATATGGTTTTAGTGACTGATTTCTTGTCCAGACTAAATAAATTCGTCATATGGGAAATAGTTGTTCGAAAGAGGATGGTGATAACTTGCTCTTCATTTTAATAAGGACAAAAAAGAAATGAATTTAAATGGAAGCAGGAAAAATTGAGATTTGGGGTGAGAATGAACTTCTAGAAGAAACAGTAAAAGGACAAGAATATGGTGTAGGAGTTAAATCAGCCCTCCCTGGTGCTCTCAGAATGGCTTGATGGCTGTCCACTTGACAGAGATTCTTTATGAGCAAGGTCTGTATGCCTCCTGGGGGTGGGCTTGGGACCATGAATCAGAACAATCCCAGCTCCCCTGCTGCCTGGCTCCCAGGAGCTTTCAATTCTCGAGGCCCCTACATAGTACACTTCTGATTCTTATGGAAGTGTGACATACCCCTTGGGTGTGTAGGAGGCAGGAACAAGTTTTTGGCCAGGGCCTATCTGGAGGCTTGGCCTGGGGTTCATTTCTCTCTTATGTCTCTGGTTTTCAGAAGTCCCTGAGTCAGCTTATTGGGACTATCCTAAAGGAATGCCACCATGAAAAACTAACAGGTGTAGGCTCTGTTGTATTTGGGTGAATAACAATATTGGTTACAAACATGGTAAAACATCCTGTATTTTCCATTTGTCATCATTTTTACTGTTTATTTTTGTACTTTGTATAGCTAGGTGACACTGGAGTGGTTACTTTGCCAGTAATAGGCTTTCACTTTCTGGTTTTTGCCCTCATTTTGTTTTATATGGGTCGATTCAGATTAACATGATAGGTATTGGTTGAATATGAGACTGTTTTTCATTTGAAAACATTTTTTCACTTAAATGCTAATTTAGGTGGTTTAAAATGCTTTAGAGATTCTAAATTTGAGGAATACAGTTCCTTTCTTGCTATAGGAATTGTTTCCTGAATTAGAAGTAGGTTTTTTTGGGAGAATTGTGGCTCCTTTGCCCTCGCTAGCAGGAGTTCATGTTGCTCCTTTTGGTGTGGATGTGCATCGAATGATGGTGGTTGTGACCCAGAGGCCCAGGGAGCAGCCTGAAAGCTTTGGTGGGATCTTTAATTGTGCATCTTTAACCTGGGGGCAAGTTCTCTCACCACCTCAGTGTTCAGCAAACACCGAAGCAAATGTAAGTGAGGAAAATGAGATATAGGCCACAGCACGTGGGGAGGAGGAAGTAACCTCAGCTGTCAGATGGCCCGGAAAGGTGCAGCCCAGCTCTCCTCGTCTGGGAAGCGGCAACTGGCTGCCACCCATCCTCTCTCCCTGAGTTCCCTCTGGCCTCCATCAGGCTTCTGGGTGTAGTCTTTCTCACTGCTCTGCAGCAGCCCTGCTGACGGTTTTCCTTCTCA